TTATATGGATTGTGAAGCTTGGGTGGTAAATGCAGCAGCGGGGGAGACGGTTGGAGGCAGTGGAGTTTTCCCGTCTAAGGGCAATGTGTGGTGTAAATATTATGCAGAAAATTCGGAGTGTGGAAATTAGGAGAAGGTGTGGAGTTAATAAAAGCATTAGTCAGAGGGCAGAAGAGGAGTTGTTGAGGTGGTTTGGTATTCAGAGAGAATGGATCAAAGTAGAATGACATGGAAAGCATATAAATCTATAGGGGAAGGAAGGAGGGGTAGGGGTCGTCCTCGAAAGGGTTGGAAAGAGGGGGTAAAGGAGGTTTTGTGGGCGAGGGGCTTGGACTTCCAGCAAGCGTGCATGGCGTGTTAGATAGGAGTGAATGGAGACGAATGATTACTTGGGACCTGACGATCTGTTTGGGGTGTGAGCGGGTAATATTTAGTGAAGGGATTCAGGAAACCGGTTATTTTCATATAGTCGGACTTGAGTCTGGAAATGGGAAGTACAATGCCTGCACTTTAAAGGAGGGGTTTGGGATATTGGCAGTTTGGAGGGATATGTTGTGTATCTTTATACGTATATGCTTCTAAAACTGTTGTATTTTTGAGCACCTCTGCAAAAAAAGTGATAATGTGTGAGTGTGGTGAAAGTGTTGAATGATGATGAAGGTATTTTCTTTTTGGGATTTTCTTTCTTTTTTGGGTACCCTGCCTCGGTAGGAGATGGCCGACTTGTTGAAAAAAAAAAATATATATATATATATTATATATATACAGTGGCCCCCCGGTTAATGATATTTTTTCACTCCAGAAGTATGTTCAGGTGCCAGTACTGACTGAATTTGTTCCATAAGGAATATTGTGAAGTAGATTAGTCCATTTCAGACCCCCAACATACATGTACAAACGCCTTACATAAATACACTTACATAATTGGTCGCATTCGGAGGTGATCGTTATGCGGGGGTCCACTGTATATATATGTATGTGTATATATATATATATATAATATTTTTTTTTTTTTTTGTTTTTTTTTTTTTTTTTTCAACAAGTCGGCCGTCTCCCACCGAGGGAGGGTGACCCAAAAAAGAAAGAAAATCCCCAAAAAGAAAATACTTTCATCATCATTCAACACTTTCCCCCACACTCACACATTATCACTGCTTTTGCAGAGGTGCTCAGGGAAAACAACAGTTTAGAAGCATATACGTATAAAGATACACAACATATCCCTCCAAACTGCCAATATCCCAAACCCTCCTTTAAAGTGGGAGGCATTGTACTTCCCATTTCCAGGACTCAAGTCCGACTATATGAAAATAACGGTTTCCCTGAAATCCCTTCACTAAATATTACCTGCTCACACTCCAACAGATCGTCAGGTCCCAAGTATCATTCGTCTCCATTCACTCCTATCTAACACACTCATGCCGCTTGCTGGAAGTCCAAGCCCCTCCCCCACAAAACCTCCTTTACCCCCTCTTTCCAACCCTTTCGAGGACGACCCCTACCCCTCTTTCCTTCCCCATGATTTATATGCTTTCCATGTCATTCTACTTTGATCCATTCTCTCAAAATGACCAAACCACTCAACAACCCCTCTTCTGCCCTCTGACTAATGCTTTTTTTAAACTCCACACCTTCTCTAATTTCCACACTCCGAATTTTCTGCATAATATTTACCCCAAACACATTGCCCTTAGACAGGACATCTCCACTCCCTCCAACGTCTCTTGCTGCTGCATTTACCCCCCAAGCTTCACATCCATATAAGAGTGTTGGTACTACTATACTTTCATACATTCCCTTCTTTGCTCCATAGATAAGTTTTTTGACTCCACATTTTACCTCAACGCACCACTCCCCCTTTTTTCCCTCATCATTCTATGATTAACCTCATCCTTCATTAACCCCATCCGCCGACACGTCAACCCCCAAGTATCTGAAAACATTCACTTCTTCCATACTCCTCCTCCCCAATTTGATATCCTTTTTTTCTTTACCCTAAATCATTTGGTTTCCCTTTTTCACCTTACTCTTTTCTATGTTCACTTTCAACTTTCTACCTTTACACACTTTCTAAAACTCATCCACTAACCTTTGAAATTTTTTTCTTTAGAATCTCCCATAAGCACAGTACACAGAAAAAAGTAACTGTGTCAATTCCCATTTTGAATTTGATTCCCCATAATTTAATCCCACCCTCTCCGGAAACCCTAGCATTTACTTCCTTTACAACCCCATCTATAAATATATTAAACAACCATGGTGAATTACACATCCCTGTCTAAGACCTACTTTTTACCGGGAAGTATTCTCCCTCTCTTCTACACACCCAAACCCTGACCCTCACTATCCTCATAAAAGCTTTTTACAGCATTTAGTAACTTACCACCTATTCCATAAACTTGCAACATCTGCCACATTGCTCCTCAAACCACTCTATCATATGCCTTTTCTAAATCCTTAAATGCAATAAAACTTCCCTACCTTTATCTAATACTGTTCACATATATGCTTCAATGTAAACACTTGATCTACACATCCCCTACCCACTCTGAAGCCTAATTGCTCATCCGCAATTCTACATTCTGTCTTACCTCTAATTCTTTCAATTATAGCCCTACCATACATTTTTTCCCTGGTATATCAGTAAGTTTTATTCCTCTATAATTTTTACAGTCTCTTTTGTCCCCTTTCCCTTTATATAAAGGGACTATACATGCTCTCCACCAATCCCTAGGTACCCTCCCCTCTTTCATACATTTATTAAACAAAAGTACCAACCACTCCAACACTATATCCCCCCCCGCTTTTAACATTTCTGTCATGATCCCATCAGTTCCAGCTGCTTTACCCCCTTTCATTTTACGTAATGCCTCACGTACCTCCCCACACTTACATTCTGCTTTCTTCACTCCTAAAAGTGGTATAACCTCCCTGACCAGTGCATGAAATTACTGGGCTCTGTTTCTTCCTTAACATTTAAAAGTTCTCAAAATATTCTCGCCATCTACCCAATACCTCCATCTCCCCATCTACTAAAATCCCCTACTCTGTTTTTAACTGACAAATCCATATTTTCCCTAGGCTTTCTTAACTTGTTAACTCACTCCAAAAATTTTTTCTTATTTTCATTAAAATTTTTTTGACGTGCCTCTCCCACTCTATCATCTGCTCTCCTTTTGCACTCTCTCACCACTCTCTTTTCCTTTTTTTTACTCTCCCTATACTCTGCTCTTCTTATAACACTTCTGCTTTGTAAAACCTCTCATAAGCTACCTTTTTCTCTTTTATCACACCCTTTACTTCTCATTCCACCAATCATCCTCTTTCCCTGCCCCACCCCCCTATAACCACAAACTTCTGCCCCCCCATTCTAATACGCATTTTTAAAACTATTCCAACCTCTTCAACCCCCCCCACTACTCATCTTTGCACTAGCCCACCTTTCTGCCAATAGTCGCTTATATCTCACCCAAACTTCCTCCTCCCTTAGTTTATACACTTTCACCTCCCTCTTACTTGTTGTTGCCACCTTCCTCTTTTCCCATCTACCTCTTACTCTAACTGTAGCTACAACTAAATAATGATCCGATATATCAGTTGCCCCTCTATAAACATGTACATCCTGGAGCCTACCCATCAACCTTTTATCCACCAATACATAATCTAATAAACTACTTTCATTACGTGCTACATCATACCTTGTATATTTATTTATCCTCTTTTTCATAAAATATGTATTACTTATTACCAAATTTCTTTCTACACATTGCTCAATTAAAGGCTCCCCATTTACATTTACCCCTGGCACCCCAAATTTACCTACTACTCCCTCCATAACATTTTTACCCACTTTAGCATTGAAATCCCCAACCACCATTACTCTCACACTTGATTCAAAACTTCCCACGCATTCACTCAACATTTCCCAAAATCTCTCTCTCCTCTACACTTCTCTCTTCTCCAGGTGCATACACGCTTATTATAACCCACTTTTCACATCCAATCTTTATTTTACTCCACATAATCCTTGAATTAATACATTTATAGTCCCTCTTTTCCTGCCATAGCTTATCCTTCAACATTATTGCTACTCCTTCTTTAGCTCTAACTCTATTTGAAACCCCTGACCTAATCCCATTTATTCCTCTCCACTGAAACTCTCCCACCCCCTTCAGCTTTGTTTCACTTAAAGCCAGGACATCCAGCTTCTTCTCATTCATAACATCCACAATCATCTCTTTCTTATCATCTGCACACACACACACATATATATATATATATATATATATATATATATATATATATATATATATATATTATATATATATATATATATATATATATATATATATATATATATAGGTAGTAGGTTGGTAGACAGCAACCACCCAGGGAGGTACTACCGTCCTGCCATGTGAGTGTAAAACGAAAGCCTGTGATTGTTTTACATGATGGTAGGATTGCTGATGTCTTTTGTCTGTCTCATAAATATGCAAGATTACAGGCATGTCTTGCTACTTCTACTTACACTTAGGTCACACTACACATACATGTACACATTTATTTATACACACTCATCTGAGTTTTCTTTGATTTTATCTTAATAGTTCTTGGTCTTATTAATTTTCCTTTTATATCCATGGGGAAGTGGAATAAGAATCTTTCCTCCGTAAGCCATGCGTGTTGTAAAAGTCAACTAAAATGCCGGGAACAATGGGCTAGTAACCCCTTTTCCTGTAAAGATTACTAAAAAGAATAAGAAGAAATAGTATTATTATTATACAATAATATAATTTCATATAAAAAACATTCACAAGCAGATTACTAAAAAGAATAAGAAGAAGAAATAGTATTATTATTATACAATAATATAATTTCATATAAAAAACATTCACAAGCAGATTACTAAAAAGAATAAGAAGAAGAAATAGTATTATTATTATACAATAATATAATTTCATATAAAAAACATTCACAAGCAGAAGCTACTTTGTACTAACCTTCATCCCTTTGTTTGGGACCTTGAACTTCCTCATGAGTGCCTTTTAAAAGCTCACTTAGCTTGCCTTCTGCATGAAGCTTCTCATATTCCTCTTGTGTCAAGTCATCTGCATGTAGACTCACTACCTGAACAAATACGATATGAGTAAGACATCTAAGAACTGCATGACATGACATGGAATACTGTATAATATCTGGTATACAGTAGTATACTACTGTAGTTTGAAAGCAAATGGACTGTTAGATATACCATCACCTGGAAAATATAAATTAACAGATTCATCATGACCAATGACTTACCAAAAAAAGTACTGCATAATTATATTTGAAAGTACAGTATTTCACAAGGTGGCATCAAATGTTTGTCTAAATACATAATAAAATTGTTTCTATGACATGATAATCAGCAACATATCCTGATGTTCGTCAACATCTATGAACTGCATAAATGATTATTAATGATGCAGTTCATGTTTCTCTTTGCCAATCCCACCTTTGCTCCAGACACTGTTACACCTACCATCCGACTTATGACCTGCTCGACTTACAACCACTCGACTTACGACCGTGTTTTTTATGCTAAATTTCTGGGAAATAAACAACTATTTGTGTTGTACACAGTGTTTATCCTAAACCTTACAGTATAAAATACAGTACTAACAGCATAAAAAGTAAAGTAAAACAATAAAATAAAGTCATTACAAAAATGTTTTGTTGATATTCAGTAGTAAAGTTCGACTTACGACCATTTCGACTTACGACCGGTTTCTAGGAACCGAACTCGGTCGTAAGTCGGATGGTAGGTGTATTTCCTAGCTGACATCGGCTGACTCCATCAACGGTAACCATCATCCTTTCAGCTGACGTCCTTCCCTCACCACCCCCTTTGTCTTCCATTTCACTCTTGAATTCCCCTCTGTTATGCAGCCGTGTATAACCCTTACAGAGGGTTTAGCATTGTCCGTTAATATAGTACAGCCTCTCCTCACTTAGCGACATAATCGTTTACCAACGCCTCGGACTTATGACGGGTTCTCTGACCAGTACGTATTCATACCTAAATAATGTATATTAGAGCAGATTTCCTATACAGTGGACCCCCGCATAGCGACCTTAATCCGTGCAAGAGGGCTGGCTGTTATGCGAAATGTTCGCTATGTGAATGAATTTTCCCCATAAGAAATAATGGAAATCAAATTAATCCGTGCAAGACACCCAAAAGTTTGAAAAAAAAAATTTTACCACATGAAATATACATTTTCCTACACACAAAGAGAAGGATACATGCACAATAGTAGAGTAGTACAGTGGACCCCCGGTTAACGAACTTTTTTCACTCCAGAAGTATGTTCAGGTGCCAGTACTGACCGAATTTGTTCCCATAAGAAATATTGTGAAGTAGATTAGTCCATTTCAGACCCCCAAACATACACGTACAAACGCACTTACATAAATACACTTACATAATTGGTCGCATTTGGAGGTGATCGTTATGCGGGGGTCCACTGTACATGCACAATATATATTGTGCATGTACTACTCTACTAAATGAAGAATAAATGACACTTACCTTTATTGAAGATGCAGCAATGACTGATGAGACACTGTGTCCTGGGAGTGCCTTTTCCTCCTGAGTACTGTAGGTCCTGTTTGGTATTTTCTTCCAGAACAGGCCTTATCACACTGTGTATGTCACTACGATTCTTAAATCTCTCAAACCAACCTTTGCTGGCTCTAAATTCACCAATATGAGCACTAGTTCCAGGCATTTTTTCTGTTCACCTGGGTGTTAGTCGACTGGTGTGGGTTGCATCCTGGGAGACAAGATTAAGGACCCCAATGGAAATAAGTTAGACAGTCTTCGATGACACTGACTTTTTTGGGCTATCCTGGGTGGCAAATCCTCTGGGGTTAATTGTTTCTTGGTATTCTCAATAAGCCACACCAACAATGGTGCTACAGCAGCAGCAGCAGCAGCTGACGATGTTACAGCAGCAGCAGACGATGCTACAGCAGCAGCAGCAGCAGACGATGCTACAGCAGCAGCAGCAGCAGATGATGCTACAGCAGCAACAGACGATGCTACAGCAGCAGCAGACGATGCTACAGCAGCAACTGACGATGTTACAGCAGCAGCAGACGATGCTACAGCAGCAGCAGCAGCAGATGATGCTACAGCAGCAGCAGCAGCTGACGGTGGTACAGCAGCAACAGACGATGCTACAGCAGCAACAGACGATGCTACAGCAGCAGCAGACGATGCTACAGCAGCAGCAGATGATGCTACAGCAGCAGCAGACGGTACTACAGCAGCAGGAGCAGCTGACGGTGGTACAGCAGCAGCAGCTGACAGTGCAGCAGCAGCTGACGGTGATACAGCAGCAGCAGCAGCTGTACCACCAATAGTAGCGATGGTTGATTGGGGTTTTTATACAACCTGGCCAGCTCGGAGACACGCACTCCACTTTCATACTTATCAATGATCTTTTTCTTCATCTCCATAGTAATTCTCACCCTTATTGCTGTAGGGTTGGCACTAGAAGCTTTCTTGGGGCCCATGGTCACTTATTTTCCAGAAAAAAATCACCAAAAACACTGTAATAATACAAAATGTTCGGATTGTATGCTTGGATGTTACCGCGGAGGCTGGCTGGTAAACAATGCCACCCGCGGAACATGTGAGCGTGGCTCAGGCCGCACATTGGACGCGTCTCGGACGAAGGCCGCTGAGCGGGTTTTTGGGCGCTATGCGGGGCAAAATTTTAGCGATCAAAGCGTCCGCTATGCGGATTGTCCGCTATGCAAGGCGTCCGTTATGCGGGGGTCCACTATATTCTGTTTGTTTCAATATTCAGTACACTACTGTATAAACATTTAAAAATATACCAGAAATGTTATAAATGGTGTAAAGGTGGCATTAAAACAATATCAAAGATGGTTGACACAAACTCGCTACCATTATTATGCTGCTCAATTAGCGACGAATTTGTTTAACGATGTGGTCTTAGGAACAGAACTCCATCATTAAGTCAGGAAAGGCTGTACAGTATTAACAATTTGTCCCATACGATTTCTTAATTTCATCACTTGCTTCCCTGTCTTCTTATATGTAAAAACATTTGAATTCTCCATTATTTCACTCATATTCTTAAACATACTTCAAACACTGAGGTAGGGTTACCCAGAAAGAGGAAATGCATTCACCATCACTCATTCAGTTACTGTGTTGCCACTGTTCAGATGGCCCTCTGAACTGCAAAATCCTCATCCCTCCTTTAAAGTGCAGGCATTCTTAAGGACATAATTAATTAACTCTAGTTTACCTGTGGTCACTTAAAAAAATCAGCTTGAAATCAATACTATAGAGTAACCAGTTCATCCTCATACATTCTATCTGGAACATTATATACTGACTTGTATTTGAGCATTAACCTTAAAAGCCAAATGCCTCATATACTGATTATTTATATAATGATTCATTTGTTTATGGTCACTACTATGAGTTTTGACTGGAGGACCTCACACATGATTTTGATGAGCCCAAATTTATAAGCACAGTAAATTAGATGGTCATTATTAGCAGCCAGTGAAAACTGGCTGGACTAATTCGTTGTTGTACAATATCTGCTTTGTATGATTATGATTAATGTTTACAATGTTGTGCAATATCTGCTTTGATGATTATGATCAATGTTTTTGTCATATAATAATAATACAGTTGTAAACTAGATGAAGATTCCATTGCATTGGTGTTGCAAGCCAGAGGAAAGACAATTATGTTTGCATAACTATTTATGAATAAAAAATGCCATTCTGATTCTAATCCACCGTATTTGAAATGATGTCCTGTCTTTCAACAAGCAAAATCAACAATAACAAATAAGATGTCAGGGTCTTCCAATAACACACCTGTGGAAGTTCATCCTCTTTGTCATCCAGATCATCATCCGTCGCTGGTGGCATTACAGCAAACTGAAAAAATTAAAATGTTACAGTCCGAATCATGCAACAGTATTTTAAAATAATTTAGTAATGATGACAGTTATGCAGTACAAATTACTGCCCACTTTTTGGAAAGGGACATTTCCATACTACATTACAAACTAAAATACAGCAAATTGTAATGCTAGCACTTGAGTTGGAGTACTCTGCTATAATGACTAATTAGAATATGCTTGAATAATAAAATACAGTAACTGTAATTCATTAAAAACCTAGTCTACTACAAATTGCAGCACATTACTGCATTTTAAAACTTGTCAGATTAAAACAGGTTTAATATTATTACATGTACCCAATCATTTAATAGGCCAACTCTCAAGTTTAATATGGTACATACTGCTATTGTTATTTTTACGATGCTAAGCCCAGAGGGTTATAGAGCACCTGAGGAGTGAGAGGTAGCTAATTAGATTTGATCCAAGGAATTGGAGGGTAGCTCCAATTCCTTGGGTCAAGAACCCTTCACCAGTAATTAATGATGCAAAATATTTATTTGAATGCATTGTTAACATATTAGAATGTAGGACTATGATAGACTGTAGATGCTCAACTGTGATTATTTTACCAATATAAATGGAAAATAAGAAAATAGTGTAGCAATGTATCAAGAATATTCCCAACTGAAAACCAATCAAAATTTTGAGGTACACATCATTAACTACTATAATTGGTGAATTTTCTGTTTGTTAGAGGACTGGTATCTCGGCTTCATGTCAGGGTTCACACAGCTTGGATGAAGGGTGAATACTTGTCACTGTTGTCACTCATTTAGTAAATTAAGAAAAAAATAATGCATTTCAAGGAATAACATATAAAAGAAGTCCTGTGCACTTCCAACAGTAAAATATATTGCACAAATTTAAGGAAACTGAATACAAATTACAGAATTACACTTTTAACATGAAATTTAAGCATTATTTTGTTAGATATTATGGTATTTAATACTAGATGGTGATGGTGGTTTTTACCTTATCAGACAGCCCCCTGTCTTCCTTGTAGCCCACTTGCTCTTTGAACCTCTTCAGGAATGCTGGCTCCTCAGGCTTAGAGTAGGACACATTGGCACGTTTACCTGTCCAACCTGCCATCTTTACCACCTGAAATGAGAGTGCAATTTATCTATGATGCCTTGGTTCAACTAAAGGAAGAAAACAGTAAAATAGTCTTTCTATACATCAAGTCAAGGGTCATACATTAAGAGAATTGCACACAGGTGCCTCTAATGGATATTCACACTGCAGATACTTCTAGCAGTTCTCCTGGGTATTACCTAAGAGAGAGAGGTGCCTGCAAGGAAAGTCTGACTATACATGAATGGCAAGACCCTTGCTCGATATAATCTCCTCGACTGCCCTATGAACTGTATATTCAAACAGCAAATGGATGACAAGGATAAAGCCATGTCTTGCAAACACCTGCTACTACTGGATCTACATCTGAGAACAGCACCAGAAAGTCTGGACATTCTGATGAGAGGAAATAAGCATTCTAAAATATAAATTGTGCTCTGAGGAGACAACACGAAAAACATTGTAACAGATGAGGAAGGAAAGTAGCACTGTACATATAGAAATCACCAGAAGGCAGGAAATCAATCCCTCTATAAGGAGGTTGAATCTGGATAATGCACTGCATATAGTCCATAAAGGCCATGAATTTGCAGTTGTAGGAGATGCTGTAGTTTGGAGAGAGCAAGGAAGAGAAGGTGTGATCTAGGCAGGAAAGTGTGAGCAGCCTGGACAAGGAAACAAGGAACTGAAGAGGTAGGCAAGTAGATATGGGCTTGCTCTTGCCACCTCACAGACTCCATCAATGAGAACTACTCTTGGCAAGATCTGAGAGAATTAAATATCTACTAGTCTATGCTAAATAACTTATCTCTGGTACAGTCTGACAGGTTGAAGCCCGATGAGTCTCAAGTGAGGATATTCCACGAGAGGTAGAGGTATCAGAGGTTGTGGCCTTGCATTTACCAGAGGTGGGGTTGATAAGATGTATTTGGTCATTAAACGATGCCCTGGAGCAAGCTGTACTTGATGCCCATTTATCAATGCAAGAGGCTTCCCATGTACCAGACAAGCTAATGATGTTAGTTGTGTGCCCTATTGCAAACATAATAGAATGTAGTATTAGTGCAGGTATATTCATTTGTATGGCATGGGTAAAATTGCCTACAATTTGCACACTTGATCGCTAGTGCGCTCAGCTCACACACTGAGGTCCAGAGTTCGAATTTCCCCCAGTACGGCTGGAAAAACACTTGGGACGTGTTTCCTTGAGACACCTGCTGTCCCTGTCCCTGTTCACCGATCAGTTTAAAATGGGTACTTGGGCGTTAGTTGACTGGTGTAGGTTGCATCATGGGACAAATTAGGTATAGTAGTATGTCATTGATGTCAGCTAGGTCTGTATACCTTGTACATGTACTTGTAGTAAATAAAGATATTATTATTATTATTATTATTATTAACCGACAACTGAGCATACTCATAGTAATTGAAAGTACAGCATCTAAGAACTGTAGGCACAGGTACATATACGTATAATAATAATAATTAATAATAATAATAATAATAATAATCTTTATTTCTACATATACAGTGTCTACAGGCATAGTGCAAATTACCTAGGATAACCAAAAAAAGTCTGACTTATTTTCATTAGGGTCCTTATAAAATCTTATTATTTAAACCTCAAAAGTTAAAAATACCTAAGTATCTGTGTGTGAAAATCAGTTACAATAAAAGGATATATACTAGGACTAAGATAAACCCAGTTATTTACACTAACATTAAAGAGAGAATCGGCTTACAATAACAGGTACACTGATGTTAGCTGTGCAAGACATAACTCTCCTCACTTTATATAGTTTCATGCAACTTATATTTATACAAAACGTAATGACAATGCGTGATACAGACCTAGAAAAATAAGCAAACTGTGTTGTGGTCGTGTTGTTGGGAGATTGTAGGGCCATCACTTCATCTGACGCCGTATTAAGCTATTTTTTTCTTATTGTTGGGCGTTTATAGGACCACTGAGAGTCACGCCGTATCGAGTCCTGCCTCCCAGTGACCGCCAGAAATGTGGCCCAAACCTAGGCTGGAGCTACTACTACTACTAATATTTCTACAAGTACATGTACAAGGTAGACAGGCCTAGCTGACATCAGTGACATACTACTATATAGAAAGCCCCTTGTTATGCAGAGCATTTTTGTGGGGTTTTGCACACAAACAAGCAAGTCTTATAGTTAATTGTCCTGCTAAGGTAAGAGATTGATTGTCTCTCATTAAACTACACTATTTGCAGCACTGGTCTCTTGCAAAGACGCGGCGTGACCTGGTAACTGGTACACGCTGGTTTAACATCTGCTTGTAATTACTTGATGAGGAAGTAAACAAGATGCTTGCCCCTTCTGAGAGGGCTGGGACCCTCAGAGCTGAAAAGGGCTGAAGGGGGCTGATACCCCGTCCTGGAGAAAATTTCTCCACAATTTCTGGCCAATTTAGTCAATTTTGTCCCAGGATGTGACCCACACCAGTCGACTAACGGCCTAGTGTCTAATAGACATGTGCCTAGGACAACATGGTGACTACCTAACAAACTGGTAACTAACTAACCTAGATACTTATTTTACTGATAGGTACCTGGGTGCCTTATGGAAACACGTCCTAATGTTTCCGGTTGAAAAGATGATTCGAGAAAGAGAACAAGTAAACATGTTTATTTAGGTACAAGCACACATAAACACAGTTACACAAATTATCCTACATAATAACATATGTGTAAATTACCTAGGATAACCCAAAAAAAGACATACCTAGGATAACTCCCCAAAAAATCAAAGTGACTTATTTCCATTGGGGCTCTTGGTGATTTCGTCTCTAAATATTTATAGTCTAAATCTGATGTGATCGACTGGTGTTTATTGTAAAAATAGAATATCAAGAAAATTACCTTATTTAATGAAAGATTTTTATAGAATTTTACATCTGTTCATAAGTATTTTAACATCTTTTGAAAAATAAACATTTAGAAAAGAAAAACAATAAGGTTTACCATAAAACAATCTCGTTTTCTTCTACACATCAACTGAAGAAAATGAAAAAAAAAGTTTTATGGGTAACTTGCCAGTTTTTACAGCATGTCAAGAAGGCAGGAAGAGAGATAAGACAATATTTTCTTCGGATTTTTAACCCCGGAGGGTTAGCCACCCAGGATAACCCAAGAAAGTCAGTGCGTCATCGAGGACTGTCTAACTTATTTCCTTTGGGGTCCTCAATCTGTCCCCCAGGATGCGACCCACACCAGTCGACTAACACCCAGGTACCTATTTGCTGCTAAGTGAACAGGACAACAGATGTAAGGAAACGCGTCGAAATGTTTCCACCCGCCAGGAATCGAATCCAAGCCCTCCGTGTGTGAAGCGAGAGCTTTAACCACCAGGCCACCGGGCCACAAATGAGCAGCTAGGTAAAAGTAAGTAAACAAACAAGTAGGTAAATGAGTATTTAAGCTATGGGAACATACCATATCAAAAACTTACAAGGTTCATGGGGGTACACAGATATTACGGGCACATAAATGCACCATATGTATATTTAACCAAGGATAACCCAATTAAATCAGACAATGCGACTTGCTTCCATCGAGGTCCGTGTTCAATGACATTTAGGAAGGCATGCATGCCATCAAACAAATTCAGAGAAATTAATAAAATTTTGTAGTATCTACAGTAGTTAGCCAGGTATTGGACACCTAATAATAATAATAATAATAATAATAATAATAATAATTAGTCTTTATTTTTACAAGTACATGTACAAGGTATACAGGCCTAGGTGACATTAATGACATACTACTGTACAGAAAGCCGCTTGCTATGCAGAGCATTTCGGGTAGATTAGGTCAATTTTGTCCCCAGGATGCGACCCACACTAGTCTACTAACACCCAGGTATATAAATCATATGGTGGATTGGGTTACTTTATCATGTTAAGGCCAGTCACAGTATTTAAGAATGGAACTCTCAGAGAATATCAAATGAATGAAGCTACGGTAAGGAAGGACAGTGATTACGTATCTCAAAATAAGTCACTGTGATTTTTTTGGGTTATCCTAGGTTCTCTACACATATGCTGCTATATATGATAATCTAAATAACTTTATTTGTGTATACCTGAATAAATTTACTTAGCACACTTAGCTCACACACTTGAAAATATTAGGACGTGTTTCCATAAGACACCTGCCGTCCCTGCTCACCCATCAGTAAAATAGGTACCTGGGTGCTAGTTGACTGGTGTGGGTTGCATCTTGGGACAAAACCGAGCTAATTTGCCCGAAATGCTTTGCATAGTAAGTGGCTTTCTGTATAGTAGTATGTCATGGAAATCAAAGGACCCCAATGGAAATAAGCCACTGACTTTTTTGGGGTTATATATGATAATAATCTATGTAACTGTATTTGTGTATACTTGAGTACACTTACATACTTAAGTTTTTACGTCAGATAGGCTTGTATACCTTGTACTTGTAGAAATAAAGATATTTTATATAATAATAACTGTTCGTGATTGTTGATTTGTATAACTGATGGTCTGTATATATACCTATGTAAATTGACAGGGCACCGGATGTATACACCGGTTGACCCAAGTGTAGTCGATAGGGCTTAAAGATGAAGATTTTATTTCCTCGTAAGGTTACAATGTGTAATTACAATTTTGGTTTAATAAGTACATTAACCATTAACCAAAAAATAACTGACAGGGACAGCAATGAAGATAAGTCAGTAAGATAAGTACTTCCGTACTTATGTGCTTACATACTTATTTACGTCAATGGAAATAGGTTTGATCAGTGAATTATCCTAGGCTAAATGTACATCATGTACTTTTTATGTACCCAAACCTAAATAAAACTTAACGCAAATAAGTTGCACCGCTTGACTTTCTCTTGGGTTATCCTGGATGACTTAATCAACCCTTCACCCAGAACAAAATCGTAAGATTCATCCTGGGGCTGGGACCAAGAGAACATGTAGGCCAGGATGAATTACAGCAGTTGGATATGCTGAATGTTGAAGACAGAGTAAAACAACTGAAGCTAAATCATGTTTATAAAATTGCTCACAGTGTCCAGAATATCTTGCTGTCAATTTTGTCAAGGTTGGGAACCAAAGCAATCATAGTACTAGGGGGAGAGAGCACAACTTTGTAGTACCCACAGTCATTGGCCAGGCATCAAACACCTTTTATTGTACAGCAATAAAGGAATGGAACAGACTGCCCGCACATGTCAAAGCCACTCATAGCATGAACCAGTTCAAGAAGAGTGCCAAAAGGTGTCTGATGAATGTAGCTACAGAAAGGGAGGGGAATGATTTTCTATTTTTTAGCTAACATACGTGTAAATTTTACCTTATTCCTAGTAATGACCCTCGTGTAGTAGATAGTCTTTTTAGTATGATAATAAGATGTTATCTTCATTGTAGAATAATAAGAAAATATTATAACCTTTATATTATAATAATAAGGTAAAAGGACCCCAATGGAAATAAGTCACTCTGTCTGACTTTTTTGGGTTATCCCAGGTTCTCTACACATATGCTGCTATGTATGATAATTCTATGTAACTGTATTTGTGTATACCTAAATAAACTTACTTACTTACTCTAAATGGATAATTTCCTTATTTAACTTCTCATTTTAATTTTACTCTGAAAATAAAATGCACGAAAAATGCCGGGAAGCAGAAGCCCGGCTAGCTCAGTCGGTAGAGCACGAGACTCTTAATCTCGGGGTCGTGGGTTCGAGCCCCACGTTGGGCGAGTGATGTTTTCCTTTAGCTCATCAATTTGGAGGCTTTTTTCTCCCCATTTTTTAATAATTTCTATCCTATTATGTTTTTGTGTTCCTGTTATATTGATAATGTCAGACTTATTTTTTATTTTCACGAGATTTCCAATGTTAGACAGTTACGGTGTTATTGTTATGTTGTGGCTGTCGTGGACCTTAAGTAAGTTTATTCAGGTATACACAAATACAATTACATAGATTGTCATACATAGCAGCATATATGTAGAGAACCTATGATAACCCAAAAAAGTCAGAGTGACTTATTTCCACTGGGGTCCTTTAAGTAAGTTTATTCAGGTATAGGTACACATGAGTACAATTACATAAATTATTATACATAGCAGCATATGTATAGATAGCCAAGGATAACCAAAAAAGTCAAAGTGACTTATTTCCATTCGAGTCCTTAAGTTATTTCCATTGAGGTCCTTGTTACTCAAATAAATACACTTATAGATGCAATATTATTCTTTTTTAACACATGTGCTTTAGATTTTATATCCCCACTAACACCCAGTGATAGCAGGCAGTGTCAATGAGTGAGTCATAACTCACAATCAAGGGTGATTTACCCATTACTGTCAACAATTGAAAAATCTGCGACGGCCCTCGGTCCCCATCGCCGCTATTGCTCCTCTCTTCCTTATTGCCCCACCTCATCATCCCTACCTTACCTTTTCTTCCCTACCTCCCCTCCCAGTGTCTCTTATGAAGGCCCTTCCCTCCTCTCCATAACCCCTATGACGCTTCTTTTGGCTCAGTACCAAGCTGTTGTAGCTTCCTTACCCTTTCCCCTCATTCTCTTCCTCGAGTAACGGAATAAGACAGGGAAAACATAGCAAGGACCCCAATGGAAATAAGTCACTGTCTGACTTTTTTTGGGTTATCCTGGGTTCTCTACACATATGCTGCTATGTATGATAATCTATGTAGCTGTATTTGTGTATACCTGAATAAACTTATTCTCCACTCATCACATTCGCTCTTCTCCCTTCCCCTCCTCCACTCTCCACATCCTCTCCCCTCTCAGCCTCCATTCCCTCACATCTGCCCTTCACCAAGTCCCCCTCACTACCTCCACTCCCCTCCCCTCTCTCACTCAGCCACCTAGATAGAATGAATGCCACCTGCAGACGTGATGGTTCAGTGCCAACCCGGGCGACACACAGTTGGCACCCTCATATATCAAATATGCCAAGATGTTAGAATTACCAAAGG